ATAAAGTGCCTAGAGAAGCGGTTAGGGACATTAAAGCTTATTTCACCAAGTAATGAAGGCGAGTCAATAGCACCATTTGTTACTTTAATTAGAAAGGAAACGCCAAGAACAAATCTACGTTTGTCAAGAGACGGTAGGGACAGCAGAAGCAACCTACTTTCATACGGAGGAAGAGAGACAATCGGATCCCAACCCAAATTTCTAAGGGCAAACAGCAAGAATTGCTTTTGAACAGATTCAATTGAATCTACGTAGCACCTATATGAAAGAGACCACACAACTGAGGCATACTCGAGTATGGGTCTAACCAAACACATGTACAGTCTTTTCGTAATGTAGGGATCATCAAACTCTTTGGACCACCTTTTTATAAAACCAAGCGCGGACCTAGCTTTGCTAATCGAGAGCTCAATATGCAAGTTAAAACGTAACCTATGGTCAAATAGAACGCTTAAATCTGTAATCGAATCGACGTCCTCCAACTTATGCGAATCTATGAAATACTGAGTAATGAATGACTTTCTTCTTGAGAATGAAAGCTTCTTACATTTACTCATTTGAAAGATAGATTAACAAACAATGCACCCAAACCGCTAATATATCAATTGATTTCACTATATATTTAAATACTGTCAATTCCAATTTGGAACCTCAAAAATTATATTGCAAAAATTGTTAATTTTCACTACTTTTTCAACGTTTTTTCCCAAAAACATTTGACAGGCAGCAAAAAAATAAAACCAGATTCATGATTAGTACAAGGAAACAGCAGGGAAAACCTGCAGCTAAAGATAGCAATTACAAAAAAAACTTTGTAGACAAATCAACGATTTACGATAGGTACGACGAGATATACTTATGATCAAAGAAGTTAATACTAACCTGATTGTTCGATACGTTGTCCCATTTCTTGGTTGCTTTCAAATCGTGTTGTAAACTGTTAAAAGAGCTTCCAGAAACCACTGTTTCTAATTTAATTTCCAAATGCAAAGTCGTTTGAAGCAGTTCTGTTGATTCCTCGGAATCCGCAGTAAATTGATTGGCCTCCTTTTAGGTGATATCATTCGTTGCTAAAGGTGATTGAGGTTTTTTCTTTTCCTCAGGTGTTGGCGGCGGCGAAGGTGGCGTTGCCATCCTAACACCTTTATATTTAGTTAAGTTAATACCGAGGCAATCTAGAACTATCTTCGAACGTCTCTGTTTTTTCAGGCTTATCTGATTTCTGTATATCATCACCATCGTAACTTGACATCGCACCTACGCCATTTTCTTCACTTGACAAAATGCGAGCTGCTGTTTCTGTTTCATTAGTCCCATTAGTTTTTTCCACAAACGACATTTTAAACTTATAGTGTAAAATTTTATTTTTTGCTTTTATGGAATTTTTCTGATTTACAATTCTCAAATTTTACGCAGCGAATTTTTAAAAACACTAAAACACAATAACTTAAGAATAACTTCAAATGAATATGACTTTTTTCATCAAAAGGATTTTTTCCACTTGTTTCTTAGGAAATTAAACTTTTGTGCAGTCTTTTCGAGCAGATCAAAACTTACAAATGGAGATCGCGAAAATGAACAATTACAATGAAAATTGGCGTTAAGTAACGCTTTTTGTTTTTGTTCCTTTTCATTAGTGTTGTTAAGCTACAAATGCGTTATAGCGTTTCTTGTATTAAATTTTTACGATCTTAGAAGTGGCAACGCATTTCTAATAGAAAAATCAGCTTTTTTATATTGGAAAACAGCGTTTGTAGATTACGTAGTCTACTATTTAATTTAGTTATAAATTGAAATTATTGTTATTGTAAAAATATGTAAAAATTATGAAAACTTTCCACTAATAAATTAAATTGAAACCTTATTATAAATGACTTTATAATTCAAATAATCCACACACGCTGTAATGTATCATTCAAAGTCTTAGGGTTAACTACCTCATGTATAAATAAATAAGGGGGGAAAAAAGGAAAAAAAGATCGTATGCCCCGCGAATAAGGAGCTTTTACTGCATATAAAAAAACTTTTCTCTCGCTTATTCGACGAGGAGTGTTTTTTACTAATTTAGGATAAATGTAAATCAATAGTTTTATTGATTTTTAAATATGTGCCTAACCTTTCACATGGTAAAGCATTAAGCTTATAAAGGCCATTTCCTATTTTTCCTTTCCTTTACTTTCCAACTTACATTTGGTGTTTCGGTATGTTACTGCACTTGGAGTTCTTCCTGTAAAATGTTTAAAGTTGGATGCGTTTAAATATTTATTTGTGGGAAGATTACCTATGAATCTTTCCCAAACTGTAAGTAAGTGTTATTGGAGTTTAGCCGTAAGCTGTTCGGCTTTAATGCGACAAGTCTGTCTGCTTCCTTGTAAGAGCTAGGTATGAAACAGTCCCTAGTAAAATTTATAGGGCGGCTGGAACGCCTATGAGTCTTTAGCGAATTGATACGCTTTTGAATTACTTTGATACAATTGCTTTATTCATATTTTGATGAGTTATTTATACATAAATTCTTTGCTAAAGTTATGATTACATTGCTAAAGTTAATTGTTTTAATTGGCATTGCGCCTGGCATTGTATTGCATTGCAAAATGCAATACTCAGCCAGTTGAAGTGTGTAATAATTTTTATTTTTCTTTCAGCAAATAGTATTATGCTGAGTTTGCATGACACGCATATACCGATATGCGATCACACTACACTATGAAGCATTTCTCCTTCTCCAAACCTAACAGACGTCTGTGATGTTTGTTGTAGATCCGTTGGTCGTGCTTTTTTACTTTCTGCGTATAAATTTTGGTAATCCTGTAAGTTTAGGGATTATGTCTGCAGTAATCCTCTCTGTCTGCGTAAGTGCCTAACTATGGACTTCATAGGTTTTAGGAGGAATCTTAAGAGTCACTTGAAGAGGATCGGAGGTTGTGACGGACGCACGTGTCATTGCTGAGCTACCTAGTTCGGTAAATATGAGACGGTTCTTAATTTATATCCCACGGACACTTCTCAGACCGTTACATTCAAAAGAAATACACGGGACTTACCCTGATAAGAGTAAACGGACGGACAAAATGTACTTATCGAACGGGCAGTTCATAAGTCATTTTGCACCTTACCGGAGCTATGGAATACTTCGGCCCATGATGTGCAACGGAAGGCCTTGCGATTGGTTTTGAGGACCTCTCAGCTACATTCCAATCAAGAGAAAAAAAAGTTTATATATTTGTGTTCGTAAATTTTATTCTTTATTCTAATAAAATATTCTTATTCTAATAATATTAGCAACTGTTTTATATTAGATACTAAATATATTCTGATACAAATAGACTTCATTTAGTATTTTTGAATTTCAAATACATTATTAGTTACACAATTTTTACATTATTAGTTACACAATTTTTTTTTCCGTAAATGAAATTCGGTCTGGACCGAATCTCTTATATCTATCAACGATATCCTAAAAAAGTGAGAAGTTTGCTCTAATTTGCTGACGATTTGCTCCAATTTACTGATAACTTACGGTTTAACTTGTATATTGAGGAGGGGTAGATATTACTTTACAAGTTGTGTAGCCGCATAGATGAGGAATTCCATTAAGCCCTCAGCCGACTTCTTACTGAATACTCGAAATTGTGGATTAACAAGCGGAAGTCGGCTGAGTACGAATACGAGCAACTGGTCGCAAGATTAAATGAGGAGCTGGACCGTCCTGTATCCCAGAAGAAAGTGAGAGACTTCCTGAAACATGTGAGGCGGTATCTGAAAAAGCTGGAGAAGGGGTTGTCTCAGACGACATGCTATTGCGCATACTTATGGTATGCCCCGAGTATCGAAAAAGAACTTGAGGAGTATATGGACATAATGGAGCAAGAAGAAGAAGAAGTCGCGCCGCATGTGAAGGATTGCGATAGACTGCCGATTCCTGCCCTGAGCATCGAAAAAAACTCGAGGAGTATAAGGAGATAATGGTAAAAAAGGAGTCGCGTGGAAAAAGAACTCGAGGAGTATGTGGACATAATGGAGCAAGAAGAACAAAAAGTCGCGCCGCATGTGAAGAATTATACTATACCGCCGGAGTTGTGCTTACAGATGATCGACGAGGATTTTGACGGCCCGTGGACATCAGCGTAGGCGACGCAAAGAAGAGAAAGTCAGCGGTTCTAAGCTAAATCTCTCCCGGAACAAGCACTAGCAAACACCGAGGAACTTCGTGATATGCGCACTATTCACGACAGAATAGTGCAGCTTAGTTTCGACGACGTCTTTAAGTTCGTGAAGACGTCCACGAAAGGAGGACATGGTGCAAGGATGCGGCTACTGTAACGAGATGCCACGAAGACCAAGGCGCACAAAAAAGTCCTCGTGTTCGCAGTGCAGAGCTTATTGACAGACGAAGAATTTCACAGCGCCTTTGACATTTTTTACGCCGCCAAGCACCAATATTTAGTGGTACTGAACATCGGTAAGCGCCTACAGGCGACCATCATGTCGCGGGTTGCTTTCTTACTTCCTTTTATTTCTTTTGAACTTTAAGGAGAGGAGGGATAAGATTATTTCTTTATTCTAAGGAGTAGAGCCCTCCGCACATAAGCTTCTCCGTTCGTCAGAGTCTTCCACACATCAGCTCCTCCGCACATCAACTTCTCCGTGCGTCAGAGTGCTCCGCACATAAGCTTCCCCGTGCGTCAGAATCCTCTGCACATAACAACGTCGAATATTCTAATTGGGACATTAAACGCAGTAAATTTCTGATACAATTATATATTTTAACGCAATGCCCATTACAAAAATTTGACGATATATCAGCGCATGTTAGAGCTAAAATTTTACAAATATGGCAACACAGCGTCTTAATTGAAAATGTCGGAGTTCCTTTTAAATTTCTTCATTTCTATAATTGGTTATATGGCATTAAAACAAATGATATTTCTTGATATCGACATGAAATACCGCTAAGAACTACCAGAACGTAAATAGGAGTAAAGGAAGAGCCCTTTTACGAATTGTAATGAAAACCGCATCAAAACGAGTAAATTAAATATGCCTGCCATAAAAATGTTGAAGCGTTTAACAAGGGCTTTGCCAAAAGTTTGTTTCCAAAAAAAGTGAAATGAAAAGTAAGAATACTTATAACATGCTTCTTTTTTATACAGCCTGACGAAGACTTTCAGTTATTGGAAATATCGTGGTATGCTGCATGCGAAACCCTTCGTAATCATCTTCCAACGTTTTCCTGAGAACATGTTTACGTTTTGTTTCTCCAGACATTTTCTCGAATAAACAAATTATTTTTTCCTCGTTCGAGATTGCATCACTTCAAAATAACCACTTTTTAAATTGAAGAATATGTACCGCCAAAGAACCTAAGCACACTTTCCCAGATGAAGGCGGGGGGGGCGCTTTGGTTGTGGGTTAATTCGTATTATGTAGCATATGATTCTCGTCACGTGCAAGTTATAAAAAAAAACCATCTTAGTAAAGGAATAATTAAAATAATGTCTTCACTGTTGGTATATTTTGAGAAGAGAATTTTTATCTCCTCGAATCGAGTAGGGATTCAATACCATTTCCGACGGTTTCTTACAAGATAATTGCAAATACAATTTTTTTAGACCATGCAACCATTCCTCTGGATAGCGATGGCGAGTATGCTTTGGTACTAAAATTTTGCGAAGTTTATTTTACTCAACTAAATAAAAAAGTAAGCAAAAAAAAAAAGAGATAAAAAAAATTAAATTTAGATTTTCAAAACTTTTCAGATATTTTATGTGGTCTTAAATCGTCGTCATGTTATAATGTCTGAATTGGACATATTCGCTGAAGTGGGTCACGGCACTGCTCATCATGAATACATCTTTTCTACAGTTACCTTGGGTAAAGTACAAAGAGGAAGTATCTAATGTACGCAATAACTTGGTACGTTTGGATTTCATGAAGAGTCCTTACCACAATCCGAAAATCAATGTTTTCATATTATTGAAAAGGGACGTTCAACCACGGCTAAAGTCTTTACATAAAGACACTTTCTATCCAGATGTAGACGATAGTGCTTCCATTAGAGGTGCGAATAAAAAGAAGGTCCTTAACGGCCAACATAGAAATTTAGTTTCCAATGAAGAAGATACCGAAACGGATGAGTATCCAAAGGAATTACCAGTAGTGGAAAATGAAGAAGATATTAACGATGAATTTCATCAATTACTTTCGAAAACAGAAAGTTATCGTAAGCCAAGCTATAAGGGTAATGAGAAAGCCAGCATATCCACATCCCATTTTAAGTGTGTTGAAAACGTTACTTTGAGTAACAATACACAAAGTTTTTTCCTATCCCGTGCAAGCAACAAGCGATTCGAAACTTTTGCATGTTTGATTACACTATAAAGCAATGTTTCTCAAATTAAAGTGAAACATATTTAAGCCCGGAAATTACAAGAAAATATACACATTACAATAAATATTTGATTATATTTTTTTTATTTTTTTTTAGTTTTTTTTTTTTGTAAAGTTAATGCGAATTTATATTAAAGCAGGTCAGGTTGTGATTATAGAAATGTCGTTTTATAAAGAATTCATGGAAAATTTTTCACACTCATAAAAACCAATTCACCAATTGAATATGATCAGTGCATTTCTCGTGCGTATATTTTACGCTGCATACATATATGTCTATATATATATATGTGAAAAATATGGACAAGAGCTCTTCTGGAACAAATTTAAATAACTCATCGAAATTGTGTGCTCATCAAATTGGTCATCAACATCTTATATATATACCATACCATACCTATTTTAAGATCCATTCGTATTGTAGTCAGATAAGCAGCTTTGTTACTTTTTTCATATTTTTCCATTCAAAATTATCTCTAATAAATGGAAATTTCAAACAAATGCTAATAATAGTTTAATAAATGTTTCGGCAAGCACTCCAAAAAAACAATTTTGAATAGAGAAAGGGATCAGCTTCATGAAAAAATGAATCAATCCCAATTAGCCATAATACATTCTAACAACGTCTGGGCCATTTATTATATTCATCTATTCAATAATGGCTACATTTTATCTAAAAAAGACTCGAAGCATGTGGTTCTACAATTTGCCTTCTGAATTTCTGGAAGTATCGAATATATACCATACATTTCACATCGCTATTGGGTTTCATAAGCAATTTTGACTTATTGTGAACACTATCCACCTCAAATTAAGATATTCAACAATGAAGAAAGTTTTATTCGGCGGGAGCCATTTCATATCCACTGCTAGACTCCTCACATTCTACTCTCCAACGCCTTTTATTTGATACCCATATCGCTGATGTTATTAAGGAATAACTAATCGCGGTGTCTACCGTATTCATTTTAGAATTGACCCATTTTTGGACATAATATATGTTCAAAACAGTTATAAGCGTTCTGTCTTGTTTGCATCATGATAGATAAATTAGCAGCATTAACTCTCAAAAAAGTGAGCAAAATTAAACTTAATTACTCGTAACTTTATATGGACATTGGTTCCAGTTTTGCATCTAAAGAGTAAGGTTTTTCGTAAAGGAAATGTAGAAAATTTCAACCTTCTAACTTTAATAATTTCCCAGCAACGAACATAAATCCAAAAATATTTATTAGAAATAACTGAGTTGCGTTCAGTTTATGCTCCGCTGCGCGCTTTTGCCCTGAGCAATTTGGCCTATTTTCAATATCAAACTACTGAAGTTATAATAGTGAATTGAGTACAATGTACCTTCAGTGCTGCTATAGCTTTGCAATCGCTGATTTCATATCATTAGCTTGTATTACCTTTGTGAACGTTGTTGAAAAATGTAACCATAAACTTATACCCTTAAAGCAGAAAACAACAACGCAGAACAAATTTCTTGTTTTTTTCAATTGCGATTAGTTGTTAGTTGGATACCGCATTAATTTTGCAATGAACTTTTAGAACGTTTTACATATTGATCCACAATCTTGCAAAATTTTGATGTTACTTGAGAGGCAGAAATTTGGGAAAATTAATGTTTAAAGTCTGGCTTCAGTTCATGCCAATTAAAACGCTGACAGCCAAACACGTCTAAAAGTACTTCCAGCAGATTAATGTAACAAGTAATTTCCATATGAAGAAAGAGACGCCATCAAGGGGAACATAACGTTAAATTCAAATGTAGACATTAGTGGCCTTTTCTATAATCGTAATACCATACTTCAATGAGAAAGACTTCTAATGTAACATTTTTAAATTACTCCAATGGAATAAATCACGTCACGTTGAATAAACAGCCACTAACCCCCTCGTAACGTCAATTGTACTCTATGTCAAAGATAAAGTCAAGCCGTACTTAAAATGAAATACAAAACAAATTAACTCTTATTTGAACAGACTCGCATCAACAGAGACTAATGTGCCATAAATTACGATGGTGGAATAGTATTTACAAAATTTAATAAAATAAAAAATATTTCTGCCAGAAACTATCATTTAATTTGGGCTCATTTATTATCATTAACCGGGCTGTATCTGCAAAAAGATACAAAATTCCTAATATTAGCGTTTAAGCCTCCGGCTAAATACTTTTCTGGATAGTGTCTTGAGTTTGTTTAGCATCCATAAATCCGTTGATTTTTAAATGTTTACATTACATTAAGCGAGTACTTGACCAAACAATGCAATACGCACTTACCTAAAATGGTGCAGGAATTAATCTGTGATGAAATTATGAAATTAATAAATAGAATATTTTTTACAACAATGATATGAATCACATCGGAATTAACTTATTAAACACTGAACATTTGCAACTTCAATTGCCAATAAGTCACTTAAGCTTTACATTCCTAAGATTGCTAGATTATGGTGAAATTTGCATATCCCTGGAATTACTTGCCTTATGAACTTTGTATTTTTTCGCACTCAACAGATTTTCTCCTCAAACTTTTTTTGTTAATTTCATATAGTGGGTAAATGTATGCTTGAACTACAATTAATTAAAAAATAGAAAGAAAAAAAAAATAATAGGCTTTTATAAACAACCGATGCGTCGCTCTCTTCCTGGAACCCAAAGTGAAGGTGATATCGTAAACGCACTTTCTTCATTCTGCACTAACTGCTGGAGGATCGGATAGGATACGCCAGAAATGTCAGAAATCTATTGTCCGACTTGCGATGATTTTGCTAATGAGACTCCAGCATATCTTAATAAAATGGCAGATCCGAGAAATAAAGTTTTGGTAACGTTCTAACAGTTCGCCATGAAGTTTTAATTTGTTATGGCGTACAAGAATGTGCAGAGCCTGGTTTTTACGGTTTTCCGCACCACCCTTGACGTACCGTGATAGGCGCGTTGCCAATTGTTTTAAATGGCTGGCTCTCCAGTAGGGATACACCATTATATACATAATTAGAAATTACAACAGTATTTACAATAATAATAATAATAATAATAATAATAATAATAACAATACATAGTAATTCGTAATAATACGTAAAAATACGTAATAAATAAAAAGCCCCGCTAATACATACATACATAATGATACATAACATGCATATAAATAAATAAAATTTCTGCTATGCCGGTGTGCTGACATCAGCAAAAGAAAAAAAAAATATTGCGATTAATAAATTTTGAGTGGAGGTGCAAAAGCAAGCATGCTTTTTAATCTAAAATAAAATAAAAAGAAATGAATAACTTATACATAACAATAAGTACGGATAAATGCAAACTTACCTTTAGCATGCAGCGAATCTTCATCAATATGAGGCGGTAAACGGAGCGAGTTGGACTTGATTTTGCGGGCGGACTTAAAGCACGACTTCTCCTTTAAAATGATGACACATTTGTAACTGTTTCTTGCACCCAGTTTTTGCCAGTCAGTACCAAATGTATCATGAAGCCTAGGAGGTTAGTGAGGTGACTTCTTCCATTGGGGCAGGAGCCTGTTTTCTTGAAGAAGGCCACCTGCTTCAGTATAGTCGCCTGGGTGCGCTTGCCGATGTTGGGCTCAACCATGTGAAAGTTCATGATTGCCAAGTGCATGCTCATGGCTTTCAAAAAACCATCAAATATTTTGTATTTCGGAAATTCAACATTCAGTTTCTTTGGTCGTGTTCCGGGTCATTGGCGACTAGTTTGCCGTCAATTTGATGCTTCTTCCTTCCTCAGCGTTAGGTCGTCTAGGCATGCTTGGCATCTTAGTTGCTCACGAATATATTGCGCTATTCCATAGCCTGTGAGCAGCTTCAAGTATTCCGTCTCGATTGCTGTTAGCCGTTTGGCAGCTACTTTGAATGCCACCCCATTCAGGCCGTATGGCAGAAACTCTTCTTCAGCCTGGGCTGGTGTCGTGTAATCCAGCTTTTCAATGACATTGTAAACGCCAACAGTTCTGCATCCGCCTCCCCAAAATTCTAATTGCCGTTTCATTAGGCGGATGCCCAACTTTATTATATCTTCCACCTGTCTTGTTCTCTTTCTCCTACTTGGCGCCATCTTGCAAAAAATCTTTTCAAGAGGTCTTGGCTTACCCTGTAGGCGTGGATAGTTATGCCAAGGTAAGCCTCCAGCAGGCCATTCATTACCTCCATGAAGTTGTCGATGGCAAGGTGGGCTCAGTCACCTCGGCCGTCTGGAAGTTAGCTTTTAAATGCGTTTTCACTTCCGCTAGCACCGCTTTCTGTTCTTCCCATTCGGCGCTGCTTATCTTGCCCCTGTGCATGACTGTGCAGCGATGGCTTCGTATGTTCGTATTTCTTTTCTTTCACGAATAATTCCGCGCTTCATAGCGACGTTCAAGTTCGCCACTGTTGGGGGAGTTATTAACTGTATAAATTCTTTGAACGATTCAGCAGAAGTAAGCATGCACTTCTCCTCTTTAAGTAATTTGAGGTGCCAGTTTTTCCCGCATGGTGATGGAGGATCCGCTTCCGTTGGTACTTTCCGTTTGCGAACTTTGTCAGTGTTTGCAGGTTTGCTTTGCTCCTATCGCAGACTACTGCTTTCACTTCTAGGCCGGCCTCCTCTGCGATACTTAAACATCTGTCCAGTTCGTTTGGAGCTCCATTACAGCTGGTTATGGGAATGGCGCTGATTAGCATGTTGAAACTTGTCAGCAGGCTACGTGTACCGAAGAAGAGTACTGTTCGGTATGCTTCCGTTTTTCTAACTTCTTTTGTGTCGTCGCAGCCGCAACCATAAAGTATATCCTCGGTCCGAGAATATCTTGTTTTTCGTTTGTGTACGCTTTGTCGAAGTGTACCTGCACAGCCTTGTTGTGAGGATTTAACCTCCCCACGACCTCTCGCAGCGCCTCGATGTTTATTACGATTTGAGCTCCTTGAACTTCGTGGCATTCAGCGGGTTCAATACTTCTGCTGTTCTTCCTCTGCGC